AGAGAGAGAGAGAGAGCTTTTTCCTTCTTCCTCTCTCTTCCCGCTCTCTTATTTTCTCACTCTCTTTCTCCTTGTACACTTAAATCTTTCTCTTTTTCTCTCTTTCTTACAATTCCTTCGTGTTCCCGCCTCTCTTCCTTTCTTTCTCACTTTTTCGTTCGATTCGTTGTTTTTTGACGACCAAAAAATCGACAAAGCCTTAACGGGCCGGTCGGTCCGGTTACCCGTAGGAATTCACTGTATTCTCGCTTCCACGAATACGCGCGCGTGAGATTACTTCTCAGCAACGACGAAATCTCGTCGTATGGGTAAACAAACGCGAGATAATGTACATGTTTCGGATAAGCGAGAGGCACGCGTTACATCGAACTCGTCGAATTCACCGCACTTTTTCACAAGACGCGTACGTAAAACCACCGAAATGCGGCACTCACACTTCCTCAATGGTACAAGGCAAACTATTGGATTTTGTGATGGCAAACAAGGAACCGACTGGTCGCGTAGCGGGACGGGACACGATAGTGGGGGGGAAGATACTGCGCAGGAGCGTATAGCGCGACCAGCAGCGTCTCTGTTACCAACCACTCGGGTGCTGCTACCGGCTGGCATCTTCCATTCCGTCATTTGCCATCATCCGTGGCGCGAACGACACTGACTCCGGCTTTCGAGTTCTCGGACAAGTCTCCGAGTTTTTTGCCATCAGAAACGACTGATTGGATACGAAGGGAGCATTTCCGCGCGCGCACCCTCCCCCCCCCACCATCACACACACATCATCACACAAAATACGCGCGACATATAGATATTGAGATTGGAGCGTGCATCCACATTCGACAGACGCGGTCGACTTTAACCTCTGCGAATTGTTTGAGCTCGCGACTTTTCAGCACGGTACTCCGATTTCCATCGGTGTATTTTAAAATCGTAAATATGACGCGTGCTGCAACACTTGTCACGATCGTGTATGTGCGTGCATGAGCTTGTCATAACAATGTGCGTGGTCGCAGTCGCGATCGCCAACTGGGTTTTTCGAAAGAAAAAAAGAAAAAAAAATTGATCCTAAAAAACGAAGGAAAAAATATCATGACTAAAGCAAAGAGGCAAACAATTGTGCCAATGTCATAGTATATCATTATTATATGTATTCATATATGCACACATGTGTACGTACATATGTATCACGTATGATATTCATTAGACGGCTAAAATATTTTGATATTTTTTAATCGAAAATCTTTTTGTCTCGCCCATTTGTTCGCTTAAGCGTCGCGTCATCAAACGTTAGTAATTTTCATCAAATCTGTTTTCGTGTCTCACGAAAAATCATTAATGTAAGGCACCTGCCTCGTGACTAGGGATATTGTATCAATTTCCGCTTCCGAATTTATTGATTTATTCGTTTGTTGGCGCAAAGCCCAAGGAGACGTATCGAGGGTTATCATGAAAAGAGAAACAAGCTTCGACCCCGATGATACGTACAGCCCTGGACTGCCATTATTGTGACAAGCCGCTGAGAAGCGTGCGCATGCGCGCGCGTGCGCCGTACGCGGTGCGCGGCCGAGCGTTTCCCCGCGGCCCCGATCTCGCAACCGACAGCTCACCCAGCTGTTCCAAGAGACGAGCGAACCCCCCATTGTAATCTGGGTCATGGAAACTGCGCAAAATGGCCCGCTGCTGCGACCGGATCGCGCCGTTTGTTGCGAACGAGCGTTGCTGACTTAGCAATTTTGCAATATGAGTCGTGGCACACGCCATCGCCGTTTTTCTTCGTTTTCGTTGCGTACGCTGCGACTCGCCGTACGGGATGCACTACGCGTCGCAACCGTTCGATCGTTTATCTGTCAATGAGCTTGACTGGTCGCTGACCAGGGAGAGCCACGCGTGGATTGGTCGATGGACTTTGCTCGACGACTCCCGCGCGAGTCTCGGAGCTTGGGCTTGGAACTTGGATTCGGAGTATTCGGAGTTGCAATTGCATATGGCATGCGTGCGATTGTGACGTGAGAGATAACGTGAGAGAATCGGTTAATTCCCTCTCGAGTAACGCGTAATGGATCGCGTTTTGCGTCGCTTTTTCGACACGAAAGTCGCAAGATAGACTCGAGAGATGCGACACGAAAGGAGAGCAAATGCTTCATCTTATCTCTTCACTCTTTTTTTCCCTTCTCTCTTTACTTTTTTGCGGGATCACGCGGTTCCCTTGTCACGTGACCATGTGCCCATGTGACTCGACTAGACTCGACGACTAAGTTTTACCCTGTGAAGCCAGTGTTCGCATCGTTTTCACAAATCTACGAATCCACATAGCTCATGGCTGACTTGCAATCAACGAAGATGTTTGCTCTTGGATAAAATTTAGTCACTCAGTTTGATATTCCGTGCATCTTTTCATCTTGTCGTCGACAAACGATATCTGTCCAGACTAAGATCATCTTTTTCGTTTTTGCGTAAGAATTTTTTTTCATAAAATCTTTCTTTTTTTCATAATTCATTTGACTAAAAGTAGATACCATCACTCAAGAAACTTTGCTCAGTTTACAACGATCGCATTACACGTATAACGATTATCCATTACATAATGGATATCATTCTATTTACGTCATTTGTGTTCCATGCAGGCATTAACAAACTGTACAAATAAAAAATATATGAAAAAGAAAAATCACACATACACACACGAATCGATTGTCCAATGGAGATGATCAGAAATGTTGTCATAGGTATATCCGGCGGTGTCGATAGCGCCGTGGCGGCTCTTTTACTTAAAAATAGAGGTAGAAATAAAGAAATTGAATTTTAACTTTGTTTTTACTTTGTTGTATACTTTTATTAAAAATTCATATTTCTTTAAGGATTCAATATTACTGGAGTGTTTATGAAAAATTGGGACATTAGAGATGAAACAGGAAAATGTGCGATTGAGAGAGATTACGATGATGCTCGATGGATTTGTGACAAACTGAAAATTCCTTTGATACAGGTCGATTTTGTCAAAGAATATTGGAACGAGGTTTTTAGGTAGTTGAATCTTAAACAACAAGTAACAACAACCAATAACAATCATTTTCACTTGTAATTTTTCCAGTGATTTGGTCGAAAAATATCAGAATGGTTATACTCCGAATCCAGATATCTTGTGCAATAAGAAGATCAAATTTAATAAGTTTTTTCATCTCGCATGTAGTAGATTTGAAGCAGATGCAATTGCAACAGGCCATTATGCCAAGACAAGTTTTGGACCTTATCTGGAGAATTATAAAGCAGATACTAGCAAGTATCCTACATTACTTAAAATTAATCTATCAATTAAATATTGCAATGATACAATGCAATTGTTATAATTCTGTAGATGTATGTTTGTTACAGGCACAGGATAGCAATAAGGATCAAACATTCTTCTTGAGCCAAGTGTCACAACAAATCTTGAGACGTTGCATGTTTCCTCTTGGAAATTACTTGAAAAGTCATGTAAAGACAATGGCCCTAGAAGCAGGATTACATCAAATAGCATGGAAGAAGGAAAGCATGGGTATCTGTTTTGTGGGAAAACGTAAATTTCAAGATTTTATCTCAGAGGTAAAGGATACATTCCTTTCTATTAAATGTTGAATGCTTTCAACAAAATTTGGCAATTAATCTTCGGCAACGATTGCAGTATATTAAAGATAAACCTGGCGACTACATAGATCTAGATAGTGGACTGTCGATAGGCAGACACAGTGGCGTTCACAAACGAACAATAGGGCAAAGATGTAAAATTGCTAGTTGTCTCAAGCCTTATTATGTGTTTAGTAAGGATCTGAAGACAAATACAATTATAGTGGTACGTAATAGAAAATAAATCAAGATTTTATTGTGAAAATTAGTTAAACCTTGCTAATGACATATGTATCTTTGTAGGTAAGCAGTACAACTCATCCAGCACTGTACACCGATTTTTTGATAACGCAAGATATTCATTGGATTAATCAAGAGCCGAGATGGAACAATGGTGTGTTGAATTGTAACTTTCGCTTTCAACATAGAAATCCGTTGATCGCTTGCAAAGTATATATGTCCAAAGATCGTTTGTTTATCCGTCTTGATGTACCTTTACGAGCGATTACAAAGGGACAGGTAATTTGTAACGAATAATGATAATGCTTTCTAAAAATACTCGATATTCTCGGTGACGTTTCACGATAACAATAGCGACAGAATTAGAATAGCCACAAAATAGTTATTAATCTGGTTATGTTATTTTATTTTAATAAAATTATAATATATAGATTAATATATATAGATATATATAGATTATAATATATATGCGCCGTGCTATCATTTGTCTTTACTGCTGAATTTTTACATGTAGGTTGTGACTTGGTATTGATATATCGGTATAATTTATATATATATATATATATATATGTGGATTTTAGTATGCTGTTTTGTTACTTTGGAGAGGAATGTCTGGGTAGCTCAATGGTATCGTGTACTGGACCGTCTTTATTTTGCACTTGACCGGCAAAACTGCACAGATTCGTCAG